ACCATGTTATGATTATTCCTATTATCTGGTTATTTACTTATCCAAACAATGACCAATTAGTATCGAAATTTTCAAGTTTTTAATTTATTTTTGATTTCGCGGGAAAAACACCGTCATATACTTGAAATTAAAAGTGAATACGTCTCTTAAGATCCTGAATACACCAGAAAATTAAAAAAAAAAGTTTTTTATGTGATCAGGATAATTGGGAATTATTTATAAAAAAGTATTTTAATGCTTCATGCTATTTGAGCCTTTTTCGGTCGACTGGTTTGGTAGTCGTCGAAAAATGGCTAAGCGATTAAACTGACTAAAGTAATGAATGTTTCTGTTGCAACGTTTTTTAACCAAGTGATCGGACAGACAAAATCTTGAACAACTAAGATAAGTGGTTTAATTGAAAATAAATAAAAAATGCTAAACCAGTCAAAGAATCTTGTCAAAAAAATTTTGAAGAAAAAGAACAAACTATTTAATAAATTTACAAAAATCAAATGGTGCGGAATAGTAACAGATAGAATATGTTAGTTTGAGTATAGCAGTCGATGAATGGCACCGCGCCCTTGTATAAGTGTGATTGCGCCAAGAAAATTTTTTCTCGTTTCAAATTACAGTATTGTGCGTTACTAAAACTGTGAGGTTTTGACTTATGTTTTCTCACGGGCAGGTGACTCACACGCACGTTAAAATACCTTAAATGAGGACTGCAAAAAAAATGTCCTTACTCAATTCATTTTTTTTTTTTTTTTTTTTCTAGAAATTGTTGGGTAAGGCTGATAGTAAATGTTTACGTTGTGACCCTTGCAAAGTTTTTTTTATACCTCTCCATAGCTCTGAAAATAGAGAAAACTGAATTTTTCAGACCTTCAGAAATTTTTTGCTCACAACATTAAAAATTTTATGTAAAAAAAGGGTTGGAACGTAGCGGAGTTTATGCGTACCCCCTGCCATTACGTACAACATAAAAAAGAGTTATACCGTAGAAGGTCTTTTAGGATGGTAATAATTCCTATTTCACAATGTCGTAGTTGCTAGAAATTTTACTTATGCAAATACTTACTTATTTCTTTAATCATCACGTATTCGATGACAGTGTTAGTTAATTTTCTGCAGATGCAACTATAATGCAAACATTCGGAAAAAAAAATGTGGTGTTCGGAATCCATCCCACGTCTGTTGGAAAATTGCGATTGCAAAGGGTTTCCAATTTTAGTTTTAATTAAAATTTGTGCTCACACGTTACAAAAAATAATTTAGTTGTGCTATTGTGGTTAACCAATATATAGTTTATGTAAAAAGTGAAAAAAAAATTATAATTTTAACTTTAGTATTCCTCGAAACATACACTCCGTAATTGATTCATAGATTTTCATGAAACTTGGTAATGGATCGAAAAATGATTCTATTATTCAGTTAATGATAATAGATAACCAATGATTTTTGATAAAGAAAAATAAATAAATAAATGTCGAGTGATAAGTACATATTAAACTCACCAATATTTGTATAACGCTGAAGCAAAAGTTCTCATGGAATTCAAAGCTAAATCTTATTGTGTTCCATTCTATACTCCTTTTGCAAAAAGCTCAAATAATTATTTGTTTGTACCAAGTTGAAAAATAATAATCAAAGTACTTAATGTAATAATAAAGAGATGTGGAATAATTTTAAAAATCAAAAATTTTATTGCACCAAAAGTTAATATTATGATAAGCATATATACACAATAAATAATTTACAACAGTGACACTTGGATAAAATCAAGTGTATGAAATAAATATAAAAAATACTATACAATTTGCGACTCTTTCTGACTTATAAGTATACATTTTTCAATGTCTTCTGCATCTGTATGACTATAATTCGATGAAGGCTTGACATTCTGAACAGGATTTTGTGAATACAGTATAACAGCATAACTAACAAGAGCAATAGCAATAGCAGTACTAAGATAAATCGGAATACCGAAGAAAAGCCAGCAGAGGATGGCTGTGAAAACCAACTCTAAGGCACTAGCAAACGTTTTCACAATAGAGTTGAGATTTTTGAGAAAGAAACTGGTAACGATCCCGATTGCCATATTGTTAAACATTATCAAAATAACTTTAGGATCCATAAATATGTGAGGTCCTGCATCATTAAAAGCCTCCAGGAGATTGCCCTGGATCAGTAGTACCACAACGTTGCACAGAATACTGTCAATGTACATGAACACGTTTTGCACAAAGATATTTATATTGGAACCTTCCTTGAGGAGGTATTCATTGTAGACACCTGCTAAGCACGAGCAGATTGTCTGAAATAACAACAATACAGTTTTATGTTAAATTCGGATTCATTTATTAGATCTTTAAATTTTTTGATATACTTTTTTCGTTTTTTAATTACCTGAATGAAAATAAATATAATATTGATATTTAGATGGAAATTAATCTTTGGAAGAGCATTGTCATAATCAATATTCAAATGCTTTATCATGCATCCTAAAGTCAATAAGACTAATGATACCCACTGCTTCTTTGATAACGTCTTCTTGAATACTACCTGTGAACATAAAAAGGGCAAAAATGTAGCAAAAATGTTGAGTCAAAGTTTCTGAACAATAGATTTATTTTTCATCGCAATGCATACCTGAAAAATTATTCCGGTTACCACAACTCGTAATTGGAGTAGTAAAAAATATGTTGGAGGATCAAACGCTGCTAAATTCACAAAGGATAAGTTATTATACAGGCAATATAAAGATGACGGTACCATATACAGTAGTAATACTAAAAGTAAAATCAAAAATGAAATTATTTTTGTCATGGAATTGGCAGTTATAAATAAAAAATGGAATTATAGCTGACCTCTTTTATGTTTCAAAACTTCTTGTACTAAACTTTGTAACGAATTGCTAAAAATAAAACATAAAAATGACAATTGGTTTTCTTACAGACATGTATTAATAATAAAGTCAACTCACTCTTTACAGTATAAAAGTGTAGAGCAGACTAATTTTAAGACCTCAGTCATCAGAACAACTATAACAATACTATAATCATATTTCCCCTGCTTTTGCGACCATGTTATGATTATTCCTAGAAACGAGAAAAAATCCTTGTGTAAATGGAAAAAAATTAATCACACAATAGAAAGACATTTTTATTGCTTTTGATAGTCATCTTGAGGAGGCGATAAGATAAGAAATAATTTGTTTACAGTGCAAAATAACACTCATGCTGGAAGAATCTATTTATTATAAATGAATGCCAAACAAAAGTTTGTTTTAACATAAAATTTTCATGCAGTTGAAAAACTAGTTTTATTTATTCACGAGCTGCAAAGTGTAAAAAAACAAGCTGTACATTCTAAAGAAAGAAATGATGACAAATATAATTTTAAATAAAAAACAACTATAGATAATATAACAAATATAATAAGTAACAACGTCTGAACGTACTCAGTATTAATGCTTAGGTATGTAAACATGAAAACGTACATATAAATACAGAGTGACAGACAGCATATAAAGATTTTTTTTCTGAGTGTACTTTTAATTTTACACATTTGTAGGTGTATGGCAACACATATAAAAAAAAAAAAAAAAAGTTAACCAAAAAATACAAATGAAATTGATGACATGAAACCTTGATTGACAAAAAGGGTGATGTATAGAACGAAAATAATGGCACTCCATCGTCCAGGAAAGAGCTCCGACCAATTTATCGTTCCCATTGTATTGGTGTGCTTCGGTTTTTCTGTTTATCAGGTTTATCTGCGCTCCAAATTATCATTCTCTCGTTTTTTTACTACATGTACTTTTATACACATGTAAGTACAGCAAAGCACAATCGTTATCCGGCTTCGGTCTCGGTGTTGCACCGTATATTATGACTGCATCACCACTATCACCAGTGACCAGCTTAAGTGCAGACGCAAACTCAACAACCCTGCACGAATATATATAGTCTTCAAGACTGCATCGTCTGCATCAGCTACTGAAATACACTTAGGTGACCAGATCCGGGCTTAACTATGCCCGGAAACTTGATTTTTTCATATTCCGCTACTAGCGCCATCTAACAAAGAATTTTTTTTTTTTTTCAATGGAAACGAAACGGAAAAACCATGGGAAAAACGGAAAAACCATGGAAAACGGTAAACGGTACTTTTTAGTTCAAAATCAGAATCGTCAGATGGCGCTGCACGGTTAGCGGGTTATGGTTAGGTGTGTGGTCTGCATTGTCTGCAGGTGTTAAAATTTGGTGGAATGAAAGTGTTGAAAATTGAAAAGAGGATACAAGCGACCTAAGTAAGGAACCGTGAGGGTAATCCAACATCATCGCGTTTACCAAAAAATCGACATGGGTAGGATAGCTTACGCAGAAGAACATCTCCAAGAGTATCTCAGTTTGCTGGACGTCTACAGCGTGGGATTAATTTTGGGACAGGTTTGTATTTTTACTTTGACAATGACTATAGTCTGTGTGTAATCATGTGGCAGATGTGTTGTTTTCAAACCAGCTGTCCTGCAATGCTCAATTGCTTTCAACTTTTTGATATTTTGTTTCAATATTTTTCGAAATATTGTATCAAATTGTTTGATTGTCAAGCTTAGCTGTTGGTGTACATACTGCATATTTTTATTGGCAAATACTCTGCAGTTGACTTCTTTTTTATCATATGCTAGATATTAATTTTTGTTAATAGTTAATTTTCAGTTGAATTCATTATGTTTGGTTGTGTGAAGGATTCAATATGAATAGTAATCCATCAATTCTTGATTTTAGAGTACAGAACAAAAAGATTATGTGGTTCATTTGGCCAGAACTTTGCCAGCTTCAAATAATAAAGTTGTTGAAGAAAATCTCATAAAAACAACACACGCTGTACAAAACACTGCCAAAAGCGAGATAAAGTCCATCTCAGATGTTGATGTAAATTTGGTAGCTGATCATGCAAAACATGTAAGTTTAATCAAAGAGTTTTTTCTCAATCGTATTTTTTCACAACACCAAAAACTCAATTTTTAAATGTTAAGGTTACCAGAATGCTACCAGGTGGTATGCAGATTTTAGGAATATTCATCGTCAGCCCTGATAACTGTTTCAGCGAAAACTCTTGCATACAAAAACTCAGATCAGTCTTGTCCGGTATTCACAAGACTCTTGCATTAAATGATTATTTATTTGGCAATAGCAATCATGAACATCTGATACTGAACTTTAACACTTCCACAAAGCAGTAAACTCATAATCAAGTATTTACTTATGCTTGGCAACATGTGGCAATTTTTAACTGATCAAAGTCAATTGTCCCCAGATATATTTGCAAGTCGGTCGAAACAAGTACAGGCGGCATATTGAAACCAGCTGATTGGAAGTTTCAAAAAAAAGTCACAAAATGGCACCACCTTGAATCTACACTCGATTTGGATTACTTAATTCCAATTCTAGATGAAATACACCCACACACTTTGAAAAGACAACTACAGGTAACTTTTTGATTATAGAAGTGTTGAATACTAACTCTTTTTCTCATCCTAAGATATGAAAATTTATTCTTGCAGGAAGTGATAAAAATAATATCAGACATGGTAAAAACTGCCTTAATAATAATCGAAGGTGAGCCAAGATCACCTAAAGATTTGTTGGAGGCGATAATTAGAAAAAAGAAAAATGAGAAACATAATGAAGAAGAAAAGGAAAAAGTTTTGCATTTTGGGGTATACTTGCCTTGTGTAAGTGTTGGTTTCTTTGTAATGAACACTTTTCAGCGTAGTTTTTATCTCTTGTTCAATATTTATAGTTTTAAAACATCGATGAATAATTTTATTGTATTATAATTAAATTGATCATATTCTAGGATTTAAATATTGACAAAGAAAATGTCAGAATCACATCATGTGGTGCCTCCATGAGATTAGTTGGTCAGCTCACTAGTAGAACAGCTGTTTATCAAAAAGCAAGCATAGAAGAGGCAACAAATGCTATAAAACAAGACATTCTTCGATCTCTTTACAGCAGATTAGAATTGCATTGGGACAGTATTATAGAAGACGAAAACGGATCACCAGAAGGTACGGTTAAACAAAAAGTAATACGGTCGTACATTCATTGATATGTTTATTTTTCAGAAAATGTCACATTGCACGAACCGCCGCGTCGAGTTTTTGTAGAACTACCACATAACAAAGTAATGCTATCCGACTACTTGTTTCCTGGTGAAGGACCTCAAGAGTCCTTAATCGTCTTAAAGGAATTATTGGATCTCGACGTTCAAGAGAACGAAATTCAAAAAGATGCCGAGCAACAAGTTGGTAAGTTTTTGAAATTATTACCATGCATACTACACAGAGACCGTTACAAAATAATATTACAATTGCTTGTTCTTACTTGATAAACCCTACATGGTTGATTTTATTGCATGTTAGATCCATCAAATCCACTCTTGTTTTCTCAAAGTGAAGTAAAAGCGACTCCAGTGGAGCCTGGCAAAGAAACTGCGACTAGTAATCAGTTCACATTATATGTGGTGGGTGTCATAGCACTTGTCATCGCGTTTGTAGGTATTTTATTGCACTGGTTGAACTCGCAGTAACAATATTACGAATTGGTCTATCTGTATCTGTAATTGTTGAATTGTTGAGTCTATATATGAAAACCCCCAAAGTTCGATCCCAGTTTTTGACAATTGCTGAGTGCTATTTTAATGCATTTTTTAATACTTTTACCGGTGTTCTTACCAAAACGGTAACTTAAAAATTGTATAAATGAAAAATCGATGAAAGTTGATTGAAATATTTTTATACTTGAAATTGTTAAAAGAAATAAAGCTTTTAGCATTTACAAAAATGATCTTATAACAATTTTTTAAAAAAAATTATGTAAATACATATATAATGGTAACTATTTATAATAAAAAAATGTGAGGTTAATTGAAAAACAAAATTAATCTTTTTTTAATGTTTAATGAGGTATTTATAATATTTATAAATTATGTACACACCTTTTTTTTCATATATACATACACGGTAAAGTTAAGGTATATACAGAACAGTTCCCCTCTGACAGACCTTGATCGAAATCACGCATTTTTATTGTTAGTTTACAAAAGTATTGATAATTATAAAACGTTACAATATTAATTATACCAACGCTTGTCCTGGTTTTTCACGAATTCGTAGCATGGAATTGGAAAAACCATCGACTGGGCAGTGTGAAATTGCAGAATTTAATAAGTTCCATTCTATAACATCACCTTGAATCGCTTCAAAGTTTGACGTACATTATTTCGAAATATGTTATTTATGTACAATATTATAATAAAATTTTTTGTTTAATATTCATAAAACTTTTCAACAACTATTCGAAACAGACAATCACAACGTGTTTTTTTTGTTTTTTTTTGTTTCAAACAAATTCTACAAAATAGAAAATATAAGGTTACATTTAAATAAAACGAATTCAACTCATCCTACACTCTTCAATAAATGCATTTCATTCTTTAACAACCGTTCATTTTTTTTTCAACGATATTCATATAGAGGCATAAAAGTGCGTATGAACAGGTGCTTTCAATATTTTGTACAGTTTTGCGAATCGTTGATTCGATCAGTTTGAAAAATAAAGGTAAAACGTTCAAATTGGAATGACGAGGTTTAAGAAACTTCACGGATAACAGACATTGTGTGTATAAACTACGTATTAAACTAGGAATGAAAAGTTTCTTTCATAAAAGTTTGTGCCACGTGATACGGAATAGCTATAAAGAGACTCGAGCTACGGTATATTTCCACCTTTAGGTGCGCAATAAACCAAACATTACTCGTAATATTTAATACTCGATACATTGATATGCAATAAATACAGAAACGACTGAATAATACATTTACATGAGTAAAAAGACAATCGTCACTGGGTTTGAAAAAAGATCGTATAGTCTTCATTAAATTCTTTCTCAGCATTTACTCACGAGTTTGGTATTTCATGATTACTTTATGATTTTGACTATCAACACCTTCATTTAAAATTTAAAGAGATGCAATGGAATGGTAATATCAAGGCTTGAGCTTTTTTCTTTTTTTTTGTCAACGATACCTCGCACCAATGAAAAACTTTAAAAATGGAAAAAATGATATACTTGCCAGAGACTTCTGGTGTGACACGTATTTAATCAAAACTACGTAAAAAAAAAAAAAAAAAAAAAAAACCTAACAAACTTAACTTAACGTAATACACGTAAATTAGTCTAATTACACGCGGATGAATTTGTACATTGTCTAAAACAGTGCAGCTCGAACGATCAATAAAGTGCACTAGAAAAATAAATTTTTTTTTTTTAATCCCTGCTTGATTGGTACAAAAGTGGAAACGCAATCGCCTTAAAGCTTCATCCTAAAATTGTTCCCCAACGAAAAACCCACTGCCACTATACTTGCTCGCGAATGATCAATCAACAGTGGTGATTTTAACATGTAAACCATAGGTATACTGATATCCATATTGAATCGATTCGACAACGACCAGTCATTCATCCGCCGAAGTGGAAGCACCAAAATTCACAGTTCCCATCATCAGACTCGGTGTATTATTGATGTAAACCTAAAAGAGGCAGGTACCCCCCGGCGGTACCTTACTTTGAACCCTCCCCTGTTCGGGAAAGATGGAAGGAAGAAAAATTGCCTAGATCCGCCAGACCAACAAAACCAAGACGCGTCCCTTGGAATTGGTCACACGACGTTGCTCGCGCCCACCGGCACCTTGATCAGGCCGGCCTGGCTGCCACAGCCGACGCTGGCCTCCTCGAGGGAGTCAAGGTCAAGGGCGGACTCGATCATCGTCGTGTCCTGGAGTAGCCTGAGCCTCGAGGCCGAGAGCGGCGTAGGAGTGAGGCAACTGCCACTACTCGTGGTTGTTGTCAGCAGAGGGCCCGCACGTGTCGGGGCCGCGGGCAGGGGCGCGATCTCGTCTATGTCGATGGGCGCGAGGCTCAGCGGCATCTCGTTCGCCACCAAGTGGCTCACGCTACTCGTTGTGCTACCGCCACCTGTGAATGATCCACACATCCTGTTTATTTATACGTCATTTGTTTGAAATAGAGAGTATATAAATATAAGTATTTGGCAAAGCTATCATCGGTTAACAAGAAAAATACGCTTTTCCGTACTTTTTTCGATGATTCGTTTCGTTTTTCTTGCCAATCGATGATCTGCTGATCTTTTACCAATGATATTAATAATAAATAATCATGTATACGGTATGGTTGTACGTATATGTAAAACAAGGTGGAAAGGTTTACACAATTTTTACATGTATATCATACAATGCAGTAAACATCAAGGATACTACTTTCTGTTGAGGAATCATACGCAACGATGCAAAATAAAGATAATACATGTACATGTTGTATCAAAGTATATAAACAAATAACTTGTATTGAGTTCTACGTGTGGTGCTATCGAGTGTGTACATCCATTGCACTTGTGGGGAAATAAACCAGCCATTACCTAATAAATAAATAAATGTAAAAAATTCCAATACCCAGTGTATATTAGTAGTAGACACACGTTCCGTATAATTTAGACCATCTGTACAATAATATTGTCTTGAATGAGTGGAGTGACGCGAGTGATGATAATAAATTACTTAATTTTTACGACCAATTTTTTCCCATTCATAATTTACAACCAAATTAATCACGAATCCAGCCAATCATTGTGACATTTGTTTTCTTTCGTCGTCCCTGAGATGTGTTCACAAATTAGTCACCGTAGACCTCGAAAAACTAAATTAAATTAGTCAATCACTGTACAGAGTGTGTAATCAAAAAACACCCAAGGTAGTAGCACACAGCGTACATTGAACCTAAGCACGTGGCGTTTGTACCTATGTATACCTCCTTTGTAACAAGAACAAAACAAAAAAGTAAGAGGGAAAAAAAAAAAAATAAATAAATAAATAAGAACCAACAGTATGTGCGTGTGGGGATGCTGTTGCATATGATAAAATGAACTTACCGGATTGTATATGCATCGAGCCCTCGTTTATCGGACGTGTTATTACGAGCAACAGAGAAACATAATTTATTTGAGTAACGATGCATAATGTTTTTTTTAAACACTAATTAATTATTGAATCAATTGTGATTATTTAAAAAAATCTATCTACCATTACTGTTAGCTTAGAGTATAATCAACATAATACGTTTGCATGATCGGTACATACGTGAATAAGTATTTTTTTTTTTTTTTCAATTAAAATTATCCACACATTGAGCTAACGATAACCCATCATCGTCATCATTATCTACCAGCGATAATATTATCAATGTCAATAATATACCTATATATTCGCATAAGATGAAGAGATACGTGCGCTACACTTCCTCTGAAAGCGCGACTATGCGATTCAATTGGGCGTACGTTGCAAGGGTCTCGCTTTCGTTTTCACCACTTACAGCCCGACTGTGTGAAAATTCTTGCACTATCCGATACTTCATTAAAACGTGGGATATCGTAGAGTAATCGGTATAATATGTACACACGTGTAATGACGTACAACACTACACGCTATATTACGTTGAAGAAGAAAAAAAAGGTGGAAAGCATACCTTTACAGCTGCAAGAGGGGGAAGGGGTAGAAAAATTACGCGTAATTGCTGATGTTATTACTCTGCTTCAGGAATGCGTTGCGCGTGAGTTATATTCATGTACGAGGGTATACGTGTATAAATGTTTTATAATATACGTGTCCAACGGGCACATGTATTTTTGCCCCCGTATAATCGTGGGTAAAAGTATTTTTTAATTGTAAAAATTTTAATGTTATTCAACTCTAGAGTTGGTTCGATGTATATAGGATCCCAGCGTGCAACCTTGCCGTTTTTTTCGTGATCTTGCATTATAATATTTTATGGATGAAAAAAAAAATCTTACAATTTTATGTCAAATCAGTTCTTTTTCGGAACAATAGAATTAAATAAAAATCTCGTGAGTGAAGGAACGCGATGATTATTTTCATTTCGTAAACAATAAAACAATTACACAAGCGGTGTAACTTTAGTTTCCAACGATAAACGAAATCCATTACGTTTGCGGCATCTCTTTGTTTTATCTCTGTGCAACAACATCATCGGTATCATCGTATCTTTATATCTAATCTGAAATTCACGATTACCCAAAGTTTTTATTGTTTATTACGAATAATTTGATAATCTATCACGCATGACCTTTAAATTTCCACTAGAAATGCTTTTTGTCAGGTGAGTATATACGTATCATACACGTGAAATAATTGAGATCATTACAACGCGATGTCCCCCCGTTTTTCCGACAATTCCAGTTACATCATGAGTGGTACCACGTAAACGTTCAGAGTTTCGAGAATTTAAAAAAAGACACACGTCATAAGTGTGGACTTACTCACGCACGTGAAATTTTAATTTGAAAACAAAAAGTTTAAAAAAATCATTTAAAACGATCGCGTACACGAGGAGATGTATGTATATGGTCTTTGATAAAACTCTTGGTCAGCTCTTCTTCAAAACTTTCCTTTAATCGTTCGTTGCGAGGGATACAAATTTAGAGGTCCGTGTAAGTGTGTAAAATTTCTTCAAAATCGCGCCAACGCAAAAATCGAGGCAAAAACCGATGACGAACGACGAAACCATTCCTCGAACTTTTTTTTGTACACGTGCAAAAGTAAGACCCCCTTGGCCCCCCGCTCCCCTCCCCAAAAAAGTCGATTACATTAAAACTTTGTTCAAAAATTAGATTCATAGTAACTATAGCATAGGGACCCTCGACGGAGTCGCGATTGTTGAAAAACTCTACGTGTCGTCGCTGTCGCTGAGCGAGGTGTTGATCATGAAGCCGGGGTCGAGAAACCCATCGTCGTCATCGTCTCCATTGTTCTTGTCCCCCCTTCCCGGAGGCCCCCCAGCCCCAAGGCCCGTCTCGCAGGGACAAAACGTGCTTTGCTCCGCGTACGACGCCGCGTGCTGGGCAAAGTGCTGGTGTTCGCTGCTACTGCTGCCACTGCTGGCCGCACGGTGCAGCTGCTGGTGGTAGAGGTGGTGTTGGTGGTAGTGGTGGTGGTGGTGGTGGGGGTCGAGGGGCCCCGAGCCGAACTTGTTGACGACAAGGCCGATGGCCGCGTGGCCGAGCATCGGCAAGCCACCCGGGCTGAGTATGCGATTGGCGAAGAAGCCAGGCTTGGCCGAGTGGTGGTACTTGTAGCCCGGGTGGACCTGATGCTCGGTGGGGAAGCGAGGCTGGGGAGTGTGCTTGTAGAGGGGAGCCACGGGTACCCGCAGCGGGTCCTCCGAGTAAAATTGCGGGAACTTTTGGAGGTCGGGGGCCTCGGCGGGTTTGCCCGGGTTCTCGGAGAAACGTTGCAGGTACTTGTGCACGTCTGCCCAGTACTTGTGCTCTTGTTGATGCTGCTCCTGCTCCTGATGCTGGTGCTGTTCCGTGTAGCGCTCACGGGCCGCAAGGTTGCTCTCGGAGCAGCGGTGGTAGTACTCCTCGCGGCAGCGCTGCGGATACAAGGGTAGGTTGTCCTCGCATCGGTACGAAGGCTTGTTGCTGCCACTGTGGGCCGACGACGTCTCCGGGCGGGCTTTGACGCTGCCTCGCTCGGCGGCTCGTTGCTCCCAGGGTGAGCCGGTGCACGAGCGGGGTGCCGCGTACTTCACGTAAGGGGGGTCACCGACGAGGGGAGGGGCCGCGCTGGCGTAGTGACACGAGTACGGGGGCAAGAGCTGATCGTCGAGGTAGTGCGACTGATGTGCAGGCTGATGAGCTGCTAGCGAGGAGGCAAGGGATGACTCACCGTTTGTGGGTTCAAAGTGCTGGGGCTGCGCCTGCTGATGCTGGTGCTGCGAGGGGGGCTGGCTCGGTACGAGGTTGTTGGTCGATCCGGTGAGGTCGCCACTACTGCTCATCGACACCGCCACGCCGTTCGACTGAAAGATCGATCAGTTTAATTAAATTTTTTTTTTTTTTTTACCTTTCTTAAGTATCTAGTTGAGGTAAAAGTACCAGATATAGAACCGAATTTTACTACAGTTTTTTTCATAAATTCATTCCAAGTTGCCACTGGCACGAATCATAAAAACGTAAAATGGTTATTATTGGGCCAAACACTTTTAGTAGATTTTTTATTTTTTTGTTTATTAATATACTACGACTTTAAATGCTTGGTATTAATAAAAATTGTTATTATATTGGTAGATGTAAAATGAAATGCATAATCATTATGTTATTTAAATGGAGTTTATACGTTTCAACATTGGGGCATAAGTATTATTTGAGGTTTTGTTTCTAATTGTACGGGTATTGGAACAACGGTAAAGAAAAAAAAAATAATCTTGAATTTAATTTCTTTAATTTGATGTATGAATTTAATCTCTTTAATTTAATTTAATTACTGAGACATTAGTTGAACGTGCGTTTGTACACTGGTACTTTTACCTTACTTAGCGACCGGACACATTGATTTGCACTGTAATCACTATGTTGTATTTTTTTGTGTTTATGCGGGTACATTATTGTATTTGTCAATTGTAACATTTAAATGTATTGACGTGGACGCAAATAGTTTACAGTTACCGCAAAGTAGTGAATAGAATAGCTATGTCATGCATTTTACGATTGTATGTGCGATGTTTAAAAATAATAATCATATAAAAACAATATGTTTACTAACGTTCTATAAATAATGATAAATAAGCAAATAATAACACTACATCAATCAAAGAAACTATCGTTCTTATGTTAACAATCACTAAAAAATAAATACAAACGTTTAATCTAGAAACGTCTATACAAGATATACTACACTTGTACTTAATGTCCTTGATGTTTGTAAATAAGACATATATGATAAAAAAAGTTTAAGATACGCTGTAGACATTAAAACTTTACTGTGCAAGGCATAATAAATGACGATGACTGTATAATCTACCACGAAATTACACTAATTACAAACGGAAAAATAATTTTAAAAATTTACCTATAAAACAATTATTGTCGTGTACTGTTCAGTGTGTCTATTGGTTGAGTTTTTATAATTTTAAAATTATGTATTTCTATATCCTTTTATACCAAAAAAAGTTGGGTTTAATAAAATAATAATATCTACAAATATAAGTGTGTTTATCAATGTATTGGGCGTACCAATAAGTTTCAGATCACTTTTCTAAAAGTTAAAAATTAATTTGTAAAAAAAGAAAAATGCATTGATTTCAAACACTTTAAATTGCCTTCATCTATTTTTAAAGAAATTTCCAAGTACCATTACGAGAGAAAATTTTTTCTCATATTCAAACCTATAAAATGTATGCAACGTAACCTTGTTATCATTGACAGTGTGGTTTGGTGGCATTTTATCAGCTCTTCAAGGTACACTAAATGATATTTACTAACAGATTATCAAAATAAATGAACGCTTTTTTATCATCGCTCACAATTGTGTACAAACAAAGAGTCAAAAATTTATGTCAAGAAGATAATTGTATTTTTTCAAGTCGTTTATGCTTGCTCAGGTCGAAATCACTTCCTTTTAATTTCTGTCATATCATGCAATGCTCATTTTAGACAATTTATTTTATTCCCAAAAATAGAAAAATATAAATCTTTAAGTTTTTAGTCTGCATGTTTTATTCACAGAGTTTAAAGGTTATGTTTGGGTCTCCCGTATCCTTTTCCCATTTTATCGTTAAATGATACTCTAGCCAACTATTAGTCATAAGGCAATTTTTTTTATGTTTAAGCAACATTGTACTATAAGTACTCAAGTACCACCATTCTTTACTCCTTCAGAGAGTTAGAACGGAACAGTTAACCTCAAAACTTAATTTGAGTTAAAAATTTGTTTACCCCTAAGTATTTTGATTCTTGATGAACTAGGCAAGTGATTTTATATTATGCTACAAAAAAAAATTACTAACAAGTAAGAAAATCATTAACTGATGCTTAAAAATCAGATTAGTATTTATAAAAATTCATAAACGATTTTCAAAGTTATGATTGAAAATGCATATCTCGTAACAGCGTCCAACTTTGCAATTGAATTTATCAAAAACTATGACGCCTAGCCTCTCTAAAATTTATAAATTCAATTTTATAAACGCCAAAAATATTAGGGAATGGGACTTTTTAAATAAAAGTTTATGAAAAACTTAATTTCGCTTTCATAGATAATGTGATAAGCATTACATTAGCAATAAGACTATAATCCGCGGTAAAGGCTGAATTGGTGACAGAAACTTGCACCAAAAAATCTTGTAAATGTATACTTAAAAAAATTAATGGTGAGGGCTGGAAATCGAATCTGGCTCACCAAACTGCTACTTAAGGCTACTTAAGCAATATTATAAGGATTTAGCACTTCTTATGTTTCAATACTTCATAACAAGCCACCTGTACATCATATTTACGTGAATGGTAGTTTTAAATATTTGGGACTTCTATTATAGCACAGAATCAAAGTGTCCTGAAACCTATTTCGTACGCCCAATTTAAACAGAAATAAGTTAATGAAGAAAAAGAAAAAATTGACAATTACCTGTGGCTGCACAATTTTAACATTTCCGTACGACTTATTATTAGTAATCACGTTATCTTCGCTGGCTCTCTCATGTTCAGCACGATATTCGGGAGTTACGACACCCCTTCGATCTAGAGACACAGAGTAACGTAATTCTGATTAGTTAGCAAAAAAAACAAAAAAACTGTACGTGCTGGCAGATAAATTGAGTTGTTAACTTAAGGGCATTATTAGAATTTAAAATAGTTTAGGTACCAATAAGGCTAGGAGGTGCTGGACCACAGAGAACATAGAAACAGTTTCCGCAAATGTTTCCGTGGCTGTAAGGATTGAAGCTTTCTTGGCCCCTCTTACTTGTAAAGGAACCTTTTATCTGCAAGTGAAATTATTTACAAAAAATTTTAATTTATAAACATATCAACATAGAGTAAATAAAGCGCTAAACTACACGATTGTCTCTAGTAAATAAAAAAAGAGACAAAGGGAACTTAATAGACTAAAGCCCATAATAGTTTCCTCCATTTCTCTTTTTGCTTCTATCGCACGAGGTAGGGGCTCTTGCTCACTCTACATATGTTTATATATGTATGACTAGCCATCTCATAATTTTAAATATTTACTTGAAAAGTAGTTATCTGTAAGATCTTAACTGTATAGATATAAATGTCTGATTGAAAAAGTTGGGGCTCAACCCACCCAAACGATATACCAAAAAATCGAATTTTTTTTTAATAGTCCTTAGTAGATAGTCGCTCGTGCGCAGTAACTGTAGCACATGCATTCGACATATCGTCTTATAAAATTTCAATCTTTCTATAGGGATCATCAAAAACGAATTTCGATTTTGCGATGTATCATTTAAGTGGGTAGAACCCCATATATACGCGGCTTACGTCTTCATTGGTGGTTTGATTGCTCGTTGTGAGATACGTATGAAAGCCGGCTAGACCCAATATACTCCAAACAGAAAAAAAACATACAAGGCCGACGACGACACTGCCCGGTGACGATTTCACGGCTTCCACGAAGAGCTTGTTGTCTCCCGTCACTGGAAAAATTAATTTTGATAAATCGATCAAATGTTAACTGTACGTCTCGAGAACAATAAACAGATACAATGAGACACTCACGCATAATGAGATGCGTAACCGAGCACGCAAAAATAAAAACACACAGGAATGCTAAGGACACTATAAATGCATAAAAGTATCGATAATTCCTGCGGCCAACGCAGTTCCCCACCCAGGGACAATGATGGTCGAACCTCTCTGCAAGCAAAAAATAAAAAGTCATATTATTATATTATCATTTTTCTGTTGGTGCTCTTCAACATTATTTTATTAACAATGTTTTGTAATACCTACCGACGCAATTGTCACACAAACTGCAGTGCGACGCTCTGGGTGGTCGAAATATTTTACAGGTGAAACAGTACTTAAGTTTGACCGGTTGGCCCCTGACGAGGACCTCTTTCGTCCTCGGTGGTGGTCTGTACGTCGGCGAGTTGCCGTTATTTGGCACTTCTATAATTTGAAGATAAAACAAAAAAATTAATGTATTCGAGGGGTCCTTTGCTGAGACTCTTTTGGCTAAGGTCAAGCGTTAACATACCTATTTGTTTTTCGATGTAAGCCGCCTCGTCGGGCGTCGCGCGCGGTATTACGCCGGGATCACTGAAGCTGGTGCGGAACAGGGCGGACATCACGAATATGAACAGCAGACCACCGACTATTGGGATCGCCGGTGTTATGTTCTCCGCTAAAAATGGGCAGCTGAAAGACAAAATTAATTATTAAGGTTGATTTTTTACCCTTTCTCGTGACTTTTTCTCTTTTTTTTTTTTTTTTTTTTTCACTGATTCTGCGGTATGATTATGATTTCTGGCTGCCATATTCACAGTGCAAATATTTTACTTGGACGTCACGGGTCAACTCAAATGTTTAGGCAGCTTTGTGTATTAATTACCGTGCTCTACTTATACTGTGTCGTCCCTCGCGACGAGCAAACGTCAAACGAACGCACATCAGCAAACAGAGGAATATACTTATGATGCACTCGTGAAAATTGATTAAGACATTTTGTTTTATCTTTAGTTAAATTATGATAATTGCAATGATAGTGATAGTAACAAGAATAATAATGTACTTTAGTAGAGCACCCATAATTTTATAAGAAAGGGATGAAAGAGACTCATGTAATAACTGCGATGAAAAAAAAATCGCTAATCATAGTTTTGTTTCAATGTTATTTATTACATCGGTGGGAATAAAGAAAAAAAAAAAGAAGAAAGAAATAGTTCAAATGGTAAAGTGTTGCTCACTCGAAAGCGAAAAATAGTCCGCTTGTTCCGGCAATCAAGCAAACTGTGACACAGAACACGCCGGTTTGCGGTGCCATCATGACCCTGCCGTCACAGCAGAAGCGATTCCTTCCCGGGAACAGCTCCCACTTCCTGGTCACTCGGGGCATTTTTGGATCAGCTTTTTTTTAGTTTACTTTGGCGTCTCTCGCTTCATCTGCAATTGAAAAAGTAAAACAATAATGTTTATTGCTCGGAAAAATTCGGACGCAGTTTTGCGCATTTATTTTTCCACGTTAGATTACACAACAGTATCATTTTATTACGAGTATTAGCGGAATTTTTGAAATTTTATGGATAACAGCCAGCGTTTGAAAGGAGGTTATTGAAAAATTCTGTTTACTTAAACAGCTTTGAAAAAAAAGGATACTAGTCAATTGCGGTATTACTTACAACATATTTAGATTTCAAAAGGATTAATGATACGTTTTCTAAGAAATCAGATCGTAAAGTTAATTTCTTCTATGTAATTTATTTTTTCTTGTTTCTCGCTTAAGCACGTTAAATCACTCTACAACTGTTACGATTGTTTCTTTACTTTTAGACTAAAGACTAACTTTAAACGTTGTTCTAAATTGTTGTTTTTATTTCCGACCAGAACCCTCAATTATAACTTGAGATATTCTCGCACACTGGTAGAACAGACTTAGACGTCTATGGAACTCAATTATTCAAAATTCACATAATATACTCTAGTATAATTTTTCAAGGCAAACCTTTGTACCTTCATACTCTCGAGCTGGTGTCTGTTTGCTAATTAATAATTGCCTCCTAATGTAGTCGTATGTCAATTAGGTCAATTCCAACGTACAAACCTTGTTAATGATTCTAATAATTAAGTATTTTGATATATTTTATATACATTAATAAGCAAATAAATAAATATGTTCATAGACTACGTAATAAAATGTAAACTTATGTACTTGAAAAGTTGGATGACAGATAAGATGGTTCCTATGGGTATAAGCACTTGGTTTATAAATGAAATAAAAATTGAATTTAAAATATATATTTTCAAAATGTGATTCGTCATAGTTAAATGTGATTGAAAAAAAAATGGTCTCATCAAAAATTATTTTTTACATTATATTATATAATAAATTATAAGATCACTAGCATTAACCAATCACAAGCAAATAGTTACAGACATTGGGCAAAAATCAACTCCTGTACTGTTTTACTGCAAATAATCATCTNTTTTCGTATGAAACAATTTGTCTAAAAATATAATGTACGAAAATTTGATGGTGTAAAACAATTTTTTGGCAATTTTTAAACGATTTTTGTCGATTCAATCGTTAAGATAGCGTTTTAGAGAAAAACTTCTTGTACAAAAAAGTTTTGTTTTCATGAGCTCTACAACTTTTGTGTTCAACGCTTTGTTGCAGGATTTTAATTTATTTTTGTAACAGGCAAAAAACATTTTTTTCGTTGTTTTTGCATTTATTTTGCTATGGAGCGTCAGAATTGCGATATAGAATAAAGTGCATGATACAAAAAAGTTGTATTTTAACAAAATCTACAACTCTGTCCTTGATGGCGAACGGGTAAAATGCATGTGAAAAAAGTTATTGCTGACAAACTGGATTTTTGCGTGTTAGGGCTCTGAATTAAAATTGCTTTCAAAATTTTCCCGTTCAATGAAACTTGTCCAAATGTAAACCATCAGTTTAGACATCCAACCCAAAACTACCTATTTAGATAATAATTATTTGAGTTAGTGGAAAAACTTGACAACGTACATACATATACACCATGTGACCAATTCTGATCACCCCCAAAAATAATCTCATTCATTTAATTTGATTGAAAAAAAAATGGTCTCATCAAAAATTATTTTTTACATTATATTATATAATAAATTATAAGATCACTAGCATTAACCAATCACAAGCAAATAGTTACAGACATTGGGCAAAAATCAACTCCTGTACTGTTTTACTGCAAATAATCATCTGCACATTTTTCAATACCGAGTGAAATAACACGGTTTGGGTGTGATATTTTTTAAACTACTACCTATAACTCAAGCAAACAGCAAATAAAAAAATAAAATTAAAAAATCAGCTGCTTGCACTGATAGAAAAACCGGATATGTATGAAACGAAGGTTAAGTTGAGTATTTGATGGGATCAAAAAGGTGTAATATAATACGAGTTGCTGGACCTAAACGAAACTATCACTGCTGATCTCAATCGAGTATAAACTACCTGAGTTGAACATTGAAAATGAGAAAATTATATTTCAACATGACAATGCTCGACCTCACAGAGCAAAGTCGGTCAAAGAGTTAAAACTACTTGAATGGGATGTGTTACTCTAAATACTATATTCATCAGTCCTTATTATGTCGTACTATCAATTATTCTGACCGATGCTGCGTAGCCTTTTGGAGCAAAACTTCAGTGTTTATGAAGAGATGGAAAAATGGCTTGATAAATGGATAGTTTCCAAAAGGGAAAAAAATTTTGTTTATGATGGCATTGCACATAAGTGTAGATATTTACTTATAAGGTATGAGTATATTAAATTCTATCAATATGTACTGGAAAATTATCTTTTCTCATTGATAGTTTAATAATATTTTCATAATATGCAACAATTTACTTTAGAGGAAAACCGGTTACGAGAATGTGGCGAGTACTATTTTTTATTTACGTACTAATAAGTACATAATAATATACGATTCAGAGACGCAACACGTGCGTATATTTATTCACGATGTATTACGCGTATTACAATCAACATTGTTGTAAGCCTAGAAATATATATATATATATAGTGAGTGGGCGAATA